TATTATTTCAACTCATAGTGCTATCAGTTTTAGTCAGTGAATATGTTTCGTACTCTACTAAAGTAAATACTCCCAAAAACATATACATGTTACTAAGTCTTTCCGGGCATCGGAGGAACTGTGACTGTGCAGTGTACTGTGACTGTTTATCGTGCAATTATCTGACATTTTCTTGCAAAATCAAAACATTTAATTTCATATATTTTTGTTTATTTTTTGTTGGCGTTTGTGTCTGATTGCTGGTAGCTTATAATAGGTTCTCAATTAGTTACGTGATATTTGTAATCATGTAACTAATACATGGTTAGTGAATTCGCGTTTCACGAAGACACGGATATCACAACTAGTCGTGAAATTCGTGTATTCAAATAATAAATAAATACATTGATATTAGTGAAAATTAACGACTTTCTGGGAAATTTACAAACACACGAATAATTTACACTGACCATAACACAAACCAAGCACGTACCATTTGGATACACGTTAAATAAAAAGCTCTAGTTTATACTTTGTGTATGGTGGTACAAAATAAACTGATTGTAACTAAGATAAGTGATTATTATTGGAAATTATTTATAAGGCCTACGCACGATGAGGATACTCAACAACTTGGATGTCAAATATATGATAATGATTAATGATCATCTGACAGAAGAGCTAATGTAAAAAAATTATGCAGAATGGATGGAATTTACGAATTTGTTAGAGACAACTTGTAACTTGAAGATCGCTCATTAACGAAGAACAATGATTACCCATCACTTTTTTTCATAATACAATGTACAACGGTAATTAAATATGTAAAGTAGACTGGTTTAAACATTTATTTTTTTTCACCTCTATAACGAAAAATTGGTACATCTCTGATCTCGGTGAAAAAACTGTCTGGTAAAAGGAAAAATATTTCCAAATTTTTTTGACTAGTCGCAAAGGTTTTCTTCGTTTTTCATTTAAATAACACACAAGATATTATACTATGTTTTTTTTTAATGATGCATAACTTTGAAATTTGTTAAGACACGGTTCTAACTATAACGGCGTTTAAAAGCTCATGAAAATACAATGATTGATTGTAAATATGATTGAGTTTTGACAAGTAGTTACTTAATTAACAATTAATTAAGTACTCCATGCTGTTATGTGATATGCGACTTGTATTTTAAAAGGTTATCTTTTTTAAATTCAAATAATTTTTTTTTTAAATATTATGTATTTAAGTTGTGGAGTTGGGTAGCTGAGTAGCCGAGTGGGAAAGGCAGCAGTGTGTTAGTGCTCACCCGGATAGCGAATTCGTCAAGAACCATCTCATGATAGCAGCGTTAGGCCTTCATGGCCCGTTAAGCTACATGATGATGATAATATATTAGAGCTGTAGTAAAATAATATGAATACTATTTCCTTTAATTATGTTTTTTTATACAGAAATATCTATGGAAAAATACTTTATTAATGTTAATAATAAAGGAAGTTCACATTACAATACATTAATAGCAGTGATAGAATGACGTTACGTACAATTATATTTACAAAATAAACATTATCTTATAAATTATAATAATAATTAAGGTTTAAATTTTGAAAAAAAGTTACGTAATAATAGTATAAGATAATTAATTGGATAAGAAGAAAAACAAATGTTATATATTTCATTACTTAAGTTGTTACAGGCCAATTACAAAATTTATTTATAAGGGAATGTGCTAAATATTGAGAAATGTAAAAAAATATCTTTGTTTAGCATAATGTGTTTTATATGTAAAATTTCACACATAGTTTATTCTAAAATTAGATATCCGTGTTTTTTAACATCGCTAATTATTATTCTTTTGTACCTAGACCAAAATATGTTGTACCTTTTGTGACATTCAATTATTCAAACTATTTCATAGAAGTACCCATAGGCAATATATTTAAATATTCTGTTATGCTAATACGCAGGCCAGTAGTACATTAGTTGTGTATATATATATGCCATTTTATATCTTAATGCCATTGCCAACACTAACAAAAATGTATCAATATATAATATTTTAATAAACTATAACTATATACTAATAATTTATGAAAAGTATTTAATAGTTGTAAAAACTACTATTCAGCACAGCCTATAATATTAATTATAAACTTATTTAATGGAACTTGGATGTATGATATATCAATAGCATACCTATGACGTATTTTGCCGCATTTATACATTTTTCGCCTATGGGTAAAATTATTGTGCCACCCCATAACCATGATTTTTTCTTGTTTAATTATAATTTAACGGCTTTCATTTTTTTTTTTTTTTAATAGCAATAGTTTAGATATTTAACAAAATTGTATAAGTATATTAATTGTTAACTGTACAATCTGTACTCAAATAATATTTCATAGTTACTAATTATTGAAAACTGTTAAAAAACAACAAAACAAATTTAAAGTTTATGCCAAGTTTGTTGAGTGACGAATTCGTTAATTACAATTTACATCGTTGTAGATTTTGCTCATCGTCATTTCTGCTCTTATATAATTATTTTCTGAGATGTATAATTTCGCAGAAATGATTTGCTTAAGTATTTTAGCATTTGTTTTCAACTTAGCCGCTGACATTGTAGTTAATTGAAGAAATAAAGTATATTTTTCAAACAATTCATCGCAGGCAGTTTTCCTTTATCTAAGTTCACAAACAAGTCGATCTACAATTGCAAAAAACATATTTGTCTTGAAATTTTAATGTTAATTGGTGTCTTTTGACGGATTTTCATCAAACAATTTTTTCCTGGGACGGAATTTTGTTTTAAAATATTCCATTTCGCATTTTTTTTTGATAGCTTGAAGTCTATACTTTGTCGATTCGTTGATCTTATCAATGAATAATATTTATGACGATTATATACTTAGATAAAATTTACAATTGAAAAAATATTATAATTGAATTTTAATTTAAACATTTATTTCCTTATAGCTGTTTAAGTTTTAATACAATTTTGCCATCCGGCGTAATTGCCATTTTCAGATTCCGATAAATTCTGTCTAGTGTTTGTATATTATGTCCATTATTTCTTCACATCTTCTCACTTTTCCTTTTCCTTCCCTTCACGGGTCACCCAAAGTCGGTAGGCCGAAGGAGAGGGATCAGACTAAGCGACACTCTGGGCAGACGAGCTCATAGTCTGGTAAGATAATCGCTTAAGGGCAAACTAAAAAAATGTATAGTTTGTTATTTGTTCGTTTTATGTAAATAACATAATAACCTTTCATACTTAACAAATTGAGACGTTTTGATTTTAAGGTTCGATGATTTTTTTTTTATGGTATACGAATTATTTTATTATCTTTGATGCAGATCTCAGCAGTAACTGCTGAATGTTTGGTTGAAAATATCAAAAAAAGCCGACGAGATAACCAAGATGAAGTTTTCATTACTTTAAAAATGAAAAAAATATGGCTTGTCAATAATAGAAAATAAAATCCGTAGCTATGTTAGAATGAAAAAAATTTAAACCCTGTCAGGGATACTGTAATAGATTAAGATTTTATCACTTTTAGTTGTAATAATTCATACAGACCTGTGATCTACCCAGCTCCAATACGCTCCGTTCCCACTATGCCTCGACTCCACTGTACTGACTTATTTTATATAGCTCTGTAAATAAAATAATAATAACACACAACGCACTAACTTTGAGATAAATACTATTACACAGTATACATTTTTTAAAAATTTTAAAAATCAAAACTTATTTTTAGTAATAAAAATAACATAATATATTATAAATAATTGGTTATCGAATGCATGAAAAATGCCCCTTAAAAATGGCTTGTTCGTGTAGTTGCGTTATTTACAAAACTCAGGCGCATCCATGCAACACTTTGCGTAGTTGGTGATTATAAATATTAAAATGTTTAATATTTATAATCAATGGTAATATGACATAATAACGTTTTCTTGTAATTCACAAATTATTTCTTTAGCAACTTTATTTTTAAATTCATAATAATAATATTCACTATTTGCAAAATAAGATCGAGCTAAAATAAAAAATACTTATATAGAACTTGATAAAATGCAATTTTGGTAAATAAGGGGGCACTACACCACTTTGTCTTGTATTAAATATGTCTCGGGAGATACATTTTCAAGAAACTGAGCAGTTTGAGATTTCGTAGAATTTATTTATTTTTTGAAAAACCTAAATAAATATAAAATTACAACTATTTTAGCACTTTGTTATGTCTTATCCAAAAATTCCTTAAAAATTATTTTTTTTAATGAATTGGTGATGTGTTTTTTTAACATAAGAGTTTCAATTTGAATTATTGACGTGCTGTTCTTGTACAATTAGAATAATACAATAATTTTAAGTAGTTGGTTCGATCGATATTTTGCAAACCAAATTTAAGATAACATAAATTGATTTGAGATAAAAACAAACCACATTTACATATAACCGAATTTCGAAGGTTATAAGTTATTATTATTATAATAATATAATTTGCGAAGGTAAACAAAAACAAACGATAAAACACAGTTATCGTTGAATGGGATTTGTGTAGTGTGTCATTGTGGATGAAAATATCAAGAGTCTACACTTAGTTGTTTCAACTATAAGTGTAGTCAACTGTTCAATATGTTTAACTAACGTTTAGTATTATGTACGTGACGTCGCCAACCGCGCCAGAGTAAACGTTTGTAACGCTTATTATTGAATAATTGGCGGTAGGAAACTATTAGATAATTGATAGTTCCATTAAGTGTAATTTGAATAAAATGTTTTAGTCGGTGGGCGGCGACGGCCAGTAAAATATTATACGTTTCACAATGACGGAAATGGCAATGATAAATAAATCTAGCGCTATCACGATCACCACGTTTTTTGATAACGTTTATCGTTAATAATGGCCTGTTATCATAACGAAGTTTTGTGATATCACGAAATTGCATAAGGTAGGCCGGACGGTGGGCGGACTGCGGGCTGCATATCTCATTGGTTAATAATCGCGAAAATAAAAAATAACCTAAGACTTCGGTACTTGTGACATAAGTTTGCCCGTTGTCGGGCTTACCTAGTGCCAATCAACCACATCGGCTGAGCTCAACAGTTTTCAAAATAAGAACAACACAAGATCGCTGATCGACAGATGCTTAAGATTTTTTAGTGATTGTCTTATAACCGTTTGATTTTTAACAAGTGTAATTGTTATTTTTTCTCAACCTAAATGTTTTTTTTTTTTACAACACCTCTCGTACAGATGGACTAAGCATGTGCGGTTACTAGTGTGAAGTAATGGTTTTTGTTCGGTTCACTTGTTATTGGTCCAGAGTCTATTGTATAGTATTAAAAACGTTTTCCTTAATTGACGTGTGCGCGAAAGGTTTCACTTAATTTAAAGAAAAGAGAAAAACACCACCAGACTTTGTTCGCTTCCTTCATTTCAATGGCCAGTATGGATGACGATTGGAAAACAGTTATACTTAAACAACTAAAGCGTAGGAACGTCAGAGAAGTGGACGGCTATCAAAACCTTATTAATTTTTGTGAGATCATTTATTGAAATTTTTTTCCTTTTTCTTTTAGACCATAGTATTTATATTCTTATTATTTGTACATTCAAATTATGCGTTGTTTTTTTAGATAACAAATTGTATGACAGTTCGTTGTTGTTGAGAGCTCAAAATGCTCAGCTCGAATCACAGATCATTCGCGGAAATGCAGGTGGTGATCTAATGCTATCAGAAAAAATTTCAACTCTTGAACAAAGAGTACTAATGCAGCAAGAAGAACTTACTGAACTACATCGAAGACGCGGAGAAAACGCACAAAAAATTATTGATTTAAGTACGACATTACAGCAGGCTGAACAATCGATTAATGAAAAAAATGTCAGGTTTGTAATTCTATATTATATGACTGGATAGTATATATAGGGGAATTGCACAAAAAACTTTAACTCTCAAATTATGTCTTTAAAATTAAATGGACTAATCATGAGTAATTATTTTATGTTTAAAGATTTGTTAATGTCTTAACAGTTTAACATGACATGTTCAATACGTTTATGCAATTCTGTATTTTGTATTTGTATTAGAACGAATATTGTCATATTGATTTACTTATTGTATTTCATTGAGTTGTTTTATCTGTTTGATCTATTAGTATATATAATAAATATATAAGTGCGATTAGAAACAATTGTAAGACAAATGTACAGCTCCAGGCAACTATTTAATATGTTACCTATCCATAAATCTGCCTCTAGTTATATTAGTTCATTAAAAAATGTATCTTACATGATTACTTCATTTGTGCGTAATGTATCTCAATGTACTTAGTTATGACTAAAGGGTTATTTGGGGATGGCCAAGAGGCGTAATGCACCCTTTTTCTATTGTTTTGTTGATAGGTAAAAGTATTGTTAATTGTTTTGTCCATGTTTGTTAATAACAATAATAATTTTTTTTCTATTAACATATCAGATTTTGATGCTTGAAAATGTATACATTCCTTGACTTTTATTAAGAGCTTAGCTGTACTATTAATTTGTTCTAAGTGTACTATTTTAAAATGATTTATGTAAATTGTAATAGGTTACAACTTATAACTAGCTATTCGTTTTGTGAATGTCAAAATGTATATGTTTTATGTTTTTACCAGTTAATACCCTTTTTTACAACTATTTTTACACACATATTTTATTTCTGTCATTTATTTATTTTGATTGTTTAATGTACAAGCTGTAAAAATATTGATATTACAGTATAAAAAAATGTTATACATTTTTTTTTTTTTTTACTCAATTTATTTTTGTATAATTATATAATTTTGTTAAATTATAGATATTTTGTTCTACCTGATTAAGCTTGAATAATTTAGTTTAGTTAAGCATTGGCTTAAGTTATAGAATATAAGACTATGTTAAGTCGAACTGGTAAAATGTCCGTAATTTTAATATTTCGTCTATTGTTTATGGCAATTACTATTATTAATATTAAGAGCAAGTAAGAATTATGGTGCTTGATTGCTGGACTCCAAAGTTATGTGTATAGCGAGAGAATGAAAGCTAGCTGTAATCTTAATCAGCTAACCATAAACATCGTCCTGACCCGTTTTGTAGACAAATAAAAACAAAACATTGAATATTAAGGAAATTTGTTTTAACATACTAACTGTGAATAGTGGTGTAGCTGTAAAGGTACATGCAAATTGCAGTGTAAACCCTTACGATTGCGCTACTAACTGTAAATATATAAACTATGTTTTATTATAGCAATATCATGAAATCATTGTGGTTTTTATCATATTACTCTTAGCGATTTTAGTTCAGTAGCTAATGTATAATTTTGACTAGGTTATAAAAGTTACTTAAATAACATGTAAAATACCTTAAAATGATTTTTATTGAAGTTTATTTGTGTTTAAATTACTTACAGTTTAGTGGTAAGGAATAAACATTTTATTTGTTGTGCTAGGCCTAATACTATCAATCCATGTTATTAATGTGGTTATAGAATTAAATTGCTGGTTATCTATGTCCGATACAATGTATAATCATATGTAAGCTCTATAAATTATGTTAAAAATTGACGAATTTAAAAATGTGCAATTAAATTGTTCAATGTTTAAAACAATATTACTTAGATGTTAACTTTTTTTTTATTTATCTTTATAGTTTTTCATTTTTAAATAAATAAAAATTACCTTTCTAATATAATACAATTATAATTTATTTAACAAATTCAATGAATTTATATGTTTCTTACACTATGATCCATTCAATTTATATTGTGATAAAAAAAAATTTGTACAATTATCTAAACTAACATGTAACAAGTACAATGTAAACTACAATTACATACTTGATAAACATCATAACATATGTTATATATTTATGTACATTATCATAATAGTTATTAAAAAAAAATTAGAATTAAATTTTCAAATATATTTGTATTAAAATAAAACTTTGTTGCCATTAAATATTTTCTAATGTTTTAATTTTGAATCGCTTAAGTTTTGTATATTTTTGGGTCTAATATTCATTTAAATGAAAGTTTTTGTTAAAATAGCCCATTTGTGTTTCTTTTTTTTTGTTATTTGAATTAAATAATATGTCAACGAAAAATAGATCAATAATTATTGGTTATTATGTTGTATTTAGGAACCTAATTTGTGATAAATTGTATCTTATGTGTAATAGTAAATTTTTTTGAGAAACTTATTTATGTAGAGCAACACACACTTAATAATATTGTAAAAAGTGTATATTACAAGCATAAGACTAAAATGGTTTTTGTTGGAGGCTAAAACAAGTTTTTTAAATTCATGAAATGGTAAAGCGGCAGGCACATTATACATTTTCATATATTTTTCTTGTAAAGTTATAAAAATGCATCTTCACACATTTGCTCTATGATATTAATAATATTATTATTGTTTCTAACTGATATTAACTTAAATAAATAGCAATAAAAAATGAATGATTTAGGTTAGTATCGTTCAAATGATGGATTTTTTTAAAAATATCATGTAAGTTTACTTTTAGTTTATTAGTAGATATTTTTTACACAACACAATAATTTATACTTCACATTTTAATTTTAATGTGTTATGCTTACATTTTGTGTCATTTGAAATTCAATTTGTTTGTTAATACATTTTTAAATGTCTTTTTAAAGATTCTATTTAATTGTGTTATTTTTCTATTAGATATATCTTGACTTTAATATCATATTTGTATGATTTTTATTGATAAGGTAAAATGTAATAATAAGCATTTATAAAAAAGTGAAATTATTTGTGATTACGTTTGTAAAAAAAACCGATAACTTAATTTTAAACATAATTTTGTGTAGTTAAATTTATAAGTATTAACAAATTCAACGAACACACATTTATGTTGTGAAATAATTTCAAATTACATTATGATTACAGTTTAGCAGAAAACACTAAAGTTATTGTTAGTTTGCGAGCTGAAATTGCTTTATACCAAAAAAACAATTCGGAGTTAAAACAATTAAATCAAGTCCTCAAAGATGAACACCAGGCTCTTCAATTGGCTTTTACCAAACTTGAAGAAAAATTGAGAAAATCTCAAGTAACTATAAAATCATATACTTTGCACATTTATATATTTTACAACTTTCTAGGAGCATTCAAAGAATAATATTAGCAGTAATTCATGATATGCATAATATATATTTTAGTTATGATTAAATAACAATACCTTCACTGTTCTACAGAAGATTCAATTGGCTGATGCACAAATATTTGGTGTAAACAAATATTTCACAAATAATATAGTCGTTTAAAATTAATTCACTATGATTTATATTGTTTTGGCAAACTTACTGAATAATTTGTCGTTTATTTTTGTTCCTATATTTCTGTAGTAAATACTATAATAATTTTAGACGCCGACAAGTTATTTCAATACAATTTTTATGAATTTCAATAATGCTCTGGAAAACTGACATATTTCAGAAATACTTCTTCTAATCTATTTTGAAATGCTCAAAAATTACATGTACCTAACAATGTAATTGGCGATGGTGTGTTGTACGACCACTGATTTATAATATTTTATTAGCAGTTTCGTTAAGGTGGAAACTTGTGTTCCATTTTTCATAGACTGATTTATAATACCATAGGAATTTCATAAATATTAATCATTAAACTTAGCCTTAATAGTTGTCTTGTTGTGTCTGGTGGTAGCATCGAAATAGTCATTTTATATTTAAATATTTGTGCAGTTTATATTGGTTGTTTTCATTTATAAACATCTTTACTGGCGCTAACCAAATAATGTCCATAGTAAAAAGTGCCATACAATTCCCTATACAAAAAATATAACTAATACATGTTTTTATATTTAAAAACAATGTATATAATTTATAATAAAATGATTTTATGCTGAAACCGTATTATTTATAAATGGGATATTTAAATTAATATCATATTCTCGATTGATTTTTGTACTTAAATTATATTAAAAAAAAAAAAAATAATCAACTGATTGTTTTTTTAAAATTATTCTTTTACGGTTATATAAAAAAAATATTGTTCATCATATCAGCGTATATCAGCGTATTATTATTATTTTTATTATATTATATTTAACATTTTATTGTTATTCGATTGTAACATACTACCATTGAGTATGGTCTATAGATTATAAATTTAATAGTATAGTTTATAGATAAGCTTGAAGTTAAACGGCCCGCAGAGTTATGACCGCATTAAAAGTTTTATTTTGATAAGCAAAATTATATATATTATATAAAAATATATTTAATTCCACACATAGAAACGTATAATGTGGTTGTCAGTATTAACTTAAAAATGACTTTTAAGAAAATGCCAATATATTTTAGTCATAATACGGAGGGTTACTTATTTTAGCAATATGATGGTAAAAAACGTATTTGAGTTATGTTAAAAAAATTAGAAATTCGAGTTATGTTAAAAAAATTAGAAATTCGAGTTATGAAAAATAATACATTGTTATTTTAGGGATATGGTGAGAGTAAACTGTGGAAATTAGTTTCAATAGACCAATTGGTTTTAACTTAATTCCTTATTTAAATGTATCAAAAAATCCCTGTTTGTAATAGAGAAAAGAGACGTTAAAAAAACAATTTACGCAGTTATAACTTATAGTATAATCCTAAGAATAAACTTTGAATCGTAAAATCAACAATTATGTAAAAAAAGCTTAAATATTGCAACGGAATATACTAATTTGTTTTTATCGGTCATAAATGCTCGTCGAGTGGTAACTAGTAATGAAAATAAACAAAGTACTAACATCGCAGCTAATCAACACATCGTGGTAAAAGAAGTTGGATGTTGCGTCATATGTGATTATTATGATTTCATATTGAGCTTATTTCAAATTCTGTGTAAATATTATTGATTAGCAACTTAAAAAGGAGTGTACTGAGTTAGAATCCAAGAAAAACAAAAATATTTCGGTCGTTCAAAATTCAAACGATGTGCACAGTAGGTTCGTAAATAAATTTAAATTTAAAACGCAACTACGATAATAAAGAACAAGAATTATTAATAAGCTTACATTTTTTAAAAACAATAATTGAAGAGTGAAAGTGTCAAACGTTCCAAGTGCCAAATTGTAAAAATTTAACTTTATAATTTGATTTGTATTTTATTCATTACCGGAAACAGTTTAACACATTTTTGAGTTTTAAATATGATTGTTTCTTTTATAAATAACTATTCTTTACTTGAAAAATTTACAAAATTGTTTCCGGTAGTGAATAAAATACAAATCAAATTATAAAGTACAATTTTTACACTTTGGCACTTGGAACGATTGACACTTTCACTCTTCAATTTTAGTCCTGACATAATTATTATCAACTGCTAACAAAAGAACTAGGAAATAGGGTGTCCTGCTTATTCTCTCTAGTTTCAAATAAGCAATTTAGACATATATTTTTAAATTAATATAACTACTTGAAAATGCGCTTTTTTTTATCTTATATTTTTTTTTAGGCTCAGCTTGTCTGTTTTATTCAAATTAACGCACTTGTAGGCGCAGCTATTGGCTTTGTTTAGTTTGACTCTCATTTTGGTGTTAATATGTAATCATTTCTTTAATGGCCTAAATCGTTGTTCTATTGTTATATAGACTAAACAATTTCAAAACATTTCATTTTGGTAACATCATTGTATATTGCTTCTTGGTTTATATACTACAGTCGATCTCAATAACTTGAACACGATAGGTACTTGGTTACTTCATTGAACACAGGAAAAATACAACTAAAATTATGTATATTTTGAATATCTAAATATCCAACTAAAGTTTAGTCTAAATACTTTTTTTTAGTTATTCCAACTATACTATACATTTATTGTGTACATATATAAACCATAATTTTAGTTGATCCAACTATGTATTTTTTTTCGTAAAGTGTTGTACGATTTTAAAAGAATACATTATAAATTAGTCAAATCCATGCATTTTTTTTAACCGTTAAAATTTTTGTCAGATTTACTTATTTTAGGACATTTATTTCGGAATGCAAACGTGGTTTTTGCTAAAAATAAAAAAACAATTAAAAAAGTATTAAGTCATTAATCAATCTATTTAATTTTTTTATTGACTTACTATATTATACTTTAGAGTTGAATTACTTTTATTCCATTACAAATTTAACATAAATATGATCACTCTTTTAGGTAAAATGCGGTAGTTCAAAATCATAAAAAACATGACCTATATCTAATTCGTATAAAAAAATGTCTTGTTGAATAGCTTTGTCTCACAACGGTCAAACAATTCTTTATTGTAAATGTTTTAATAAAAAAAAATGTATAATAATAAATAGTCATCTTATAATTTAGTTGTAAGTTCCTTTTTTACCGTCTAGTGCATTGCGAACGGAAACAGCCTTGTCACTCAGTTTTTCGTCCCATCCGAGTTATTCATCAAAATACAACATTACATTTTTATAGAATAATGCCAAAAGTAAACCAATCTTTTAATTGGTATAATTTTTTTTATTTTGCAGACCGTTTGCTAATTTTCCGTTTCTCAACGTTCCGCATCTTCTGTCTAACGCGAAACGTTAGCTGTTAGGTAAATATTAACCAAAACTGAATCCAAATGTGCATAGTCAATTCGTTAAACACCGGCACTGCGCATTAGAGCTTCCGACCTATCAATTGGATTTGATTCGCTTAGGTACGCCAATGTGGCGTGCTGGTGTGTGCCGTTTCTTTGCAATGATTTAAAATTAACAGATTAGACGACTACTTAGAATATACCATTCTCCTTATATGATATTTATATTTTTTTAAATTGATGAGCGCCGAGGTATTTTTTAATGTCACAGTATTTCATTGGTGGAGTCCTAGTACAACAATGCGAAAATAAATTAAAAACGTCCTGTAAGCGACCGATAAAAAACTTAAACCTTGTTGAATTTTTCGGCAGGGCGCCGCGGGTCTATTTTTATAATATTGCACATAATATAACATTATATATACACACAACCGCGATATTATGGAACACCGGCTGCTGGTCCGCCACCGCCAGTCAGTTGACACTAACCGCAAACGTTGCGCTTACATAAAACGCCTACAAACACGGCTGTTTTTTAGATAAATATTGTTTTTTTTTTGTGTGTTTTTTCTTGTGTTTGCTTGATCGCAAAATGCTGGCCAAGCTAACGCGCCGTCGATTTTCGTTGCAGGATGAGGGCCGAGAGCTGGTGGACAGGTTGATGACTTACAAATCGAAGGACGCAGAAAAACTGAACGAAGAAAACGATCATCTAGTCAGGTGTGTGTGAATTCGTGAATAATAAAAAAATAACAAATCTAGAGTTTTTCGACTAACAGGATTTACCTCCGCCGACTATACATCGAGAAATATTTTGAAAAAATCTTGGGACTTTTTCGAGGGAATACAAAAACTAGATGCCTCCTTGTATACAATGTCATATTTCATGCATCAAACGTTACAAAATTACCTCCCAAAACTAAGAAACTACCAATAAATTTAGATTCTCAAATAAATCAGTGCACATAATAATACATCCCTTCTTGTAAGACTTATTCAAATTTAATATATATATTTGTGTGTAGTGATCCGTGAATCCCTATAATATCAGTTCACACTTCACTACTAAAAATATTCATATACTCCAGCATGTTTTTAAAAAAGTGAAATTTATGAAAAAAAAACATGCCTAAATTGAAATTGACCACTAAAAAAAATCGAATTCATTTATAGCGCTCAAAATCAAGATAAAAAACAATTATAATCCATGTTTTTAAGTAACACACACTTTTGTCAACGTTTCACACTATAAGAAGAAGTTTCTGCTGCCTTTTAACTTTGTGTATATTGTATTTAAGTTCAAAAACCTATATGACTGCCGCCGAACCTCTCCAAAGCGTTTAATTCAAGTCAACAAAGGTAATCGTACCCTTGTATTGTCATCGGTAGTATCTAACCCGTTAGGTAAACCTAATCCTTTAATCGGTTATCCATTAAATAGTTTATATTTTTTGGCACTTATGGCGTGATTACTAACGTTTTAAATGGAAGGATATATTAAAAAAAAATTAGAAAAAAACACTGTTTTTGTATCTTTTAATAAATTGTGTAATTTTCATTTAGAGGTGGGGCCACTCAAATTAGATTTTTACAATAAAAGTTATTTTAAAATTGGTTTGTATGTAAGTGTTACGTATTTTATTAAAAACTGAATGAGAAAATCCACAAAGTTCAAAAATTTTAAATTATTTGATTTTTTTGAGTTTTTGGTTCAGTATTTTTACTAATATATTTTTTGTGCTATATTTATGTTTTATATTTCTTTACTTACATGCAATTTTTCAAGACCAAAAATAGGAGCATCTATCATTGTTTTTGTAAATCAGCATTTTGAAAGTCCCACTTCTACTTATATAATTTGCCACGTTTCATTTAGTCTCATATTTTTTATGCTAGAAAATTGTTTTTTTTATATCTAAATGGTCATTGCATTTAAAAAATAATATAAATAAATATATTTTTACGTGATAGGTACCTTTTTTTATTTTAATTTTTTTACATTTTTATACTTGGCTGTATACAGTTATACATTAAACCCCTTATTAGACGATATATTTCCTATATTTCTCGCTGTACCTAATACATACCCATCATCGGCAGTTGTTTGTACAATTATTTTTGTGCGTAGTAGTATAGTCGACAACAAAGCCATTCGAAATAGATTATTTGCAAAAAAAAAAAGCGTTAAGTACGCCATTCATATATAATATAGTTTTGTCGGTTCTCACGCTGGTGTAGTATGTGTTATACCAATCGTACGCATTATCGTGTTGTTGTTGTTGTTGCTTTGTATTCGTTAAGTATCATTACGTCAATTTATATTTATAAACATTTTTTTTGGGCGCGCATTTCATTAATTTATTGTTTGTATAGAAAGCGAAATGCTAAAATGCAGCAAGAACTCAAGGAAGCGGCCAAAGACATGCGCGGCGTGTCTGCCGAATGTCTTTCGACAGTGGTGAGCAACAGCGTTGGCCCCATAGTGGCTTCCCCGTCGGCCATACCGAGAAAGGCTACCATTAGATTTGTATGACCACTTGTGTACGGTTTGTAATCCAGTTTTGGCATTAACGAATACATATTTTTTAGGACGCTCACGATGGTGTAGTGAGCGCTGTGAAATGGAGCCCGGTGGACCGGATGATAGCTACCGGCGGAGAAGACCGCAAAGTCAAGTTGTGGGACGTGTCGAAAGGTTAGGTTAGGTAAAAATGTCTTTCAACGTGAATGCTTGATTGGAGATTTTTTTCATTTTTCTTGTAGGAGTTGCCGAGTGTAAAGGTATGTTGATTGGCAGTAATGCCGGTGTCATGTCTGTCGACTTTGACAGTACCGGTGGACAGATTGTGGCAGCGTCCAACGACTTAGCGTCTCGCGTTTGGACAGTCAGTGACCAAAGACTCAGGGTAAGTACTACACGTTACATTAACGATTACGCCAACAAATCAGCAAGACTAATTATTATTGTTTATTGTTCGTTTATTTATTTATTAATAATTACCTTACATAAATATTACTACTTAAAATAGATATCAAAATGTTTTTATTTTTTAGTATTAGTATTAAAGACTAAAATATAACGCTATAATTTCAAGTACAAAAATAATCTTAAAATACATTCTAATAAATACTTAAAATATTAACTTAGGGTTTCTGTTGATATTGTTTTCCTTATCTCGATTCGGCTATCTTAGTACAATAATATGACCATAATAATATTGCGTTAGTTCGTTTTCTGTATTATAATAAAACATGACATTTTATTTATATTTTCATTTTTATTCTTGTTTAAATTTTCATAGTTTTAAATTTACTATTGTTTTAGCTTACACGTTATGAGATAAGGAAAAAATAGTCACAATCAAGCCTTAAGAAACGTAGACAAGATTCCGACAATCTTCGATTATTAATTATTCTAGAGGAAATCAAATGTACATTATTTTTAACGTCGGAAAAATCATCTGCGTTTCAGCCCAATAAACACTTATATAACTACTATCGATTAACTCTATAATACAAATAAAATTGGTTCGCTAAATCATAAATAACCGAAGGAGTTCGTTAGTTAATAGTTATGAGATAGCTGAGCTGCCTCGATATAATTTTGTTCTATTGATTTAGGAAAATTAACCGAGTTATAATTACTGAGAAACATTTAAAATTTACAGTTTTTAAAACCTCAATCGACGTGATAACGAATTCAAACGATGAATACATATAAAATAGGTATCTTATTTTAACTATCTATTAAAGAATGTCAGGTTTAAAATATTATGTTGTGTTTTATTGCGGTGTAAAGGAAGTACACCGATATTTTACTGGCGTGCTAATATTTTAATTTAATTTTCGTGACAAAGCCAATGTTACGTGCTGGCGTTTTTGATTACAACGAAAATCGGTATTTTAATAATTAAATGACTTAAACTCAAAATCACTAAATAAGCCTATTAGATTGTGACGGTCTTGAAATAAAGTATTATGGATATTATGCGCACATCGCGAGACCGTCAAGGCTATTTGAGCTCAGCGTCCTTTGCAGACAAAGAAACGTTGGTCTTCGATCGATGTAACTACTCATTTGTAAATAAATAACATTAATAAATACTATATATCATTCGCATAATTATCTAATTAATTTAAGGTAAAAAAAAAAAAATCTGTCATGGCAAACTATCTCGTTAAAAGGGATTGACCCCCCCCCCTCACCGGTCAGTATCGTTTCGCGTACCCCGAATCGTACAGCTTGCACATGCTGTCCGTTCGTCCCACTGGTATGCTCATGCTGACTGACATACCGTCCTGCTGATGGTGGTACGGATCCACGTGTCTCTTGCGGTTCCACACGTACGCCCACGCAATGAGCACGGCTACCTGGACGGCCAGAAACACTAGACAGGATATTATGACGCCGAATAAGTTCACGCAAAGGCTGTCGAAGTTGTACTCTTGGTGTTTCACATAAGTGGTGGACGTGGTGGACGCGTCGGCCGGGTTCATTTCCGGCGACGCCTGTTGAGCGCCGAACCCGAACTTATCTGTGATTTGGATACTCTGCACTAGCAGCATGTCGTCTCTGGCGTCAGCCGACGAACCGCTCGTCTTGGCCGGTGCTGATCTCCTCCGCCGGCGCTTGCCGAAAGAGTGAACGGATCTGAGCTCACCGGATGCGTCCTCCTGGTCGCACTGCACCGGTTCGCAAGTGGGCATGCACGGCGTGACCAAAGCTCGGAATTGCACTACTTCGGAAGACGGAAACTTGAACGCATCGAAATAGGACAGGAGAATCTGCAAACAAGAAAAGAAAAAAAATATTCATAATTGTGTACAATAACGATTAATAAATAACTAGACGTCGCGCTTTGTTTACCTTTCCACTGCCCGTGTCCGAAGACTTGTAAAGTGGACCCATGATAAAGTGGTCGGTGGGACATCCGTCAGCGTCGATCAACACGATCTCGCTCGAGTCCACGCCGTCCATAGCCACTAGTTCCCTGACGAATATCTCATACGGGCTGTTTGAGTCGAGTATTTCGAATCGCAACGCCAGCGGGTCGCCTACCTCGGCGGACGGTTTCACGTCCGCGCCCTGTCTGTCGGTGATCTTCATAGCTACGTTGGGCGAGTCTACGACCACCTCCTCAGTCATGGCCGGCTTGAGATCGCCCTGTATGCCTAAATCTACTTCGTTCGATACCGTCTTGTTGGTGAGGTCGTATTGGCACGTGATAGCCACGCCCAAATCTGAGCTGGTGATGATAGTGTCGTGATGTTGGATGATCACGTCGTTCATGTATCTGCCCAAGCCTTGTTGCTTGACGTTGCACTCGACGTCGTCGTATGCCATTTCCAATTCAAAGTCCAGGCTGCCCCTGACGTCTTGAACGCAAGAGTTCGGGTTGCCCTTGGCGTAGATCTTACCGTTGAACAGCTTGCTGGTCTTGATCCTGGCCACCATATCTCCGGACCGGCACTCGATGCTGATGTTGTAACAGGAGTTCAGCTCGTATGTCGACGCCTCCGGCACTTCTAAGTACGGATCCTAAGGACAATGCATAAAACAGCGTTAAAACCGTTGACCTTAACGCTAATAATGACTAGTCTACATTATCATGCACGCCCGTAGAATTTTAGGATTTAATTAAAAACAAGCTGTTGACCTCTTCACATTATATACGGGCGTGTCTCGTGTTTGTCTTCTCATTTTACCTTATGATGTCAATTCGCGTACGCAATCGAATGGTTTTTTTTATCGTGTTTTAGTGAAATATATATCGTCTCGTCGGAGTTCTATTTTTCGTCAATAAAATAATAATTATAAACGCACGTAACGATCAAAGAAATTAGACGTAGGAAAAAAATATGTTTTGGTTTAGTCAAAAATAACTTTTTGACCGTGTAAACTGGGCCTTTTATTTTTATATACTCGTCGGATATGGTTATATTATGTTACCCCAACAATAATCGAAATTCAGAATTCTCCATCCGGAAACTATCAAATTATAACTACGCGATTCTATAGTAATGTTTTTTCTCTCGATATTTTGATGTTTTGGGTGAATCTAATGTATACACATATATATTTGAATCCAGAACGTTCCTTTTCATCACACATCACTTTCCAGATTAATACAAAAGAGACGAATCGGTTGAAAACTGAAAATACATCAAGATTTATGTTATTGACGACTAGTGAAGGAGATAATGTTTTTTTTTTTACTAGAATTCGAGTCGGAAAATTGCAATGGAAATTGTACACGTTTGTGTCATAATTTTCAGCGGCATACCGATTCTAATCAACCGAGAACTGGGTCGGCACATTTATATCAATGTATATATATATATATATATATATATATGTATATTGTTAAGAAAATAAGAGAGGGCCCAACTCACCAACATCCCGGGGATAACGTACCGTGGCAGTAGATCGTTATTATCATTACAATTATTAGTAGTATATTATTGTGTGTATTCTGAATGTGTGTGTGTGTGGTGTGTGTGGAAGAATTCCTTTTTTGGCACCACTCGAATGTGGGTTACGACAACCGAACGTGTTTGAGAACGGATATGGCACACACAACGAACAAGATCGGTTATTTCATTCGACAAACATGTTGAATTTTAATAATGCACGTTGTTTTTTTTTTTTTGCGTTTTTTCAGTTGTGTCATTCTTAGGTATTTACGAGTTTACTAAAATGTATAGCTATAGTTTGGAAACATTGGGCGAAACGCTCTAGAAACTTGGAACATCTAATATTTCATATTTTTGACGAAGAACATAATATAGAATATGCATTCGACTAGTTAAATGAGTGTACACATAAACTTTCGTTAATTGCACGTTCCAAAAATAAACAGTTTTAATGCGTGTAACAGCGTTACGGTTTAATAGAATAATTGTTTTACGCATTCCACGCTAGCTTTCATCTTTATACACAAGAAATACAAATGTGATTCCCGATGCTAGAACTCACACCGGCAAATTACGGTATTTATTTTCTTATAAAAAACGTATACCTGTTAATCGGTAAACGCCAAAGCGATTATTTTTTTTTTTATGGTTTGCGGTCAGGACCCGAACATCGATAAACATTAACTCGGAAAACGCGACAGCTATAATCTCGTGTATTATAATTGTGTATTTTGTTATATTTATACAATTCGTCATAACGTGAATAACGCTAAACAAATTTTGCTGCATGTTTTTGTTAATATAAGTCGAATGTTGATATCGTTGGTTCTAACGATATTAATCATTTTATAATAAGTACTCTATGATCTAAGCTTAAATTCTCACTTGTATGTCGGACAATGTGGCTCTAGAATGATGACTGAGCCTGCACACTAGTTCGCCAGTATCGCCGTAATCGTACGAATGGCACCTGTACGGAGAGTTCAGACATAGTTCCCGACAGTCGTCCAGCGAACTCACGTCCTGATACACCGAGTCGACGGTTTTAAGGATGCGCCCAGGGAATTTTTTGAACTCGCACAATTTGACGGGCTCGTCCACGCAGTTGTTTTCCAGGTAGTCCACCGACGTGACAGGTTCGAATTGCCCTTGCCCGGCTACTGTCATCCTGTCCATGTCCGAAAGCTCGCATTCGCCTGTGCTGTTATAGTAGTTAGCTGACCTGTAACAAGCAATTGCACATAAGTAATATTATCATAACCAATTGTAATAACGCCAATCGATCACTTTGGCCACTGCTAACTGTTTGTGGTCGGTAACTTTATGTAATGCACATCGTCTGAACAAAACAACCACCTCTACAACAATCTTTTTTTATATAATTTTGTCATATATATACCAATAACTATACTCTTTATCCGTATTCATCCTCAATACCAACTTTTGTGTATTTTCTCATATTGAAAGTATAATATATTTTTAATTCTATTCAAATTTATAAATTAGCAAGTATTAAGAAGTTTTGGAATTTCCCAAATATATTTTTACAACTTCTCGGCCCACTGCTTAAAATACGCGTTTTTATATTATACAATTATTATTTGCGCGAAGGTTAAAACAAAGTCGGAAGTACATAAATCGTAAGAACCGGTTCTGTTCGAAAAGCCCATAAAACCGTTTACGGTTAATGCACCCTCGCGTTGGCCAGTCTGTACATTAGTCATCGGCGGTAGGTATTATATATTGTATTGTGCTTAATAATTTGTAGTCCCAAAGCCTTTAAATCATTTGTACAAAATAATAAGCAATCATTACGAAAGCATTATCTTCTTAGTACCAAAGTGGTCTTTGCACTATTGAAAAACAGTTGCGTTTTACACATTTTACGATATTATTTTGATTTTTGTTAATTAGTCAATTAATTTTTATGATTTAGATGAAATCATCTTAATTTAAGTAAGTAATACATATATTATATTACTATTACATCTAGTCAAACGCATTATCACGGGAAGAAAGAAAATGTCCATGAGTGTTGTATTTTTTCAAAATTGTATGATTGGTATGAATATTTAATGGCAACGATCCATCTTTTTTCGCAAATTAGACGTTTTTCATGTTAAGGTCTATGCATAACATAAACCTAAAATGTACTCGAGTACAGTATCTTATTTATATGGTAGATATTTATCGTTTAATTGAGTGTTGATTGTTTGATTCAACAGTTTTGGCTTCAGTTTGAATCTTTATTTTTCTTACTCTACATCCTACGATTTCTTCATTGATTATATTCTATATATTTTTTTAAATAAGCTGCGATAAAATAGTCTATCTAATACATAACATGAATTTCCCAATGAAATACTACGATATTTTTTCGAATAATTATTACGTACCTACTACTAGAGTGGATTAGCTACTCTACTACGGGGTAACGGTTAAACAAATTGTTTTTAATTTTAACACCAGACACAGTTATCCGACGGCAATAAATGTTGACAGTATTATATGAGTCACCATTTGAATAGCAGCTTTAAAAAAAAAAAAAAAAAAACAGAATTATTCCGAAATATCAGGTTTTTCGCTTTGGAGTATTGCGTTTAACGTGGAAGTCATGTGAACTCGCAACCAGCTGTAGGGCAGAGGTGCTACACGAACAGTAGGTCGACCGCTCGACAGGCAACCGGTTTGTCGCGATCATCGTTTTTCGCCAAAGTCACCTCGCATGACAATCGTTTTACCGGTGACCCCGACGGTCGATCGTTATGTGTATGGAGACCGTGTAGGCGTGAACGTTTTATGTAAATCCCCTCGAATTGGTAGAACACCCGGGAGATCTATCCACAGCCTTTTGGATCAAAATGAGAGAGCGGGTCCTAAAAACTCTGTAACATCATCGTATTTTAAATCATTTTCGGGTATTAAACGCGTACCTAACGAAATTGTATTATTTTCTCCTTATACTCTTCCTATGTCATACACTACCTACCACCGAGGCGATGATCAATGTACTATATTTCAACTGCAGTACTACACAATAAAAAAACCGAAATCCGAATCGATACTCGGAATCGCCGAGTATGTTTACTTGTATGTGTGATGCAATAATTTATCCTAATTTTCATACGCGACACGACGACAATATCATCCGTGAAAGACAGGCAAGAATTCGTTCTGAAGATTTTTTTTTTTTTTCGTTCTACACTATTACTATTACTATTATCATTTTTTTATTCTATATTGTACAAGCGTATATGTAGTACAGGCCAATCGGATTTTATTCTCAGGGAAATTCAGCGTAACGCGATAATAATTAAAATCGTGCATGTAAATCGATCCGGGTCTGTGTGGGACGAGATTAATTCATCGGTTGTGCTGTGATGGAATGTCAATTACACACATACCCAGTGCGGATTAATGTGTGTGGGTGTCCACCATTATTGTACATATACACGAACAGTTAAGTATATACGGTATAGGTACAATTGATTTTCATGAGTTAAGCATTTTTTTTTTTCATATAGGTAATACTAGTAGCTTATAAAATCCGTTAAAAGACAAAATGCGAAGCAAAAAAAAAATTAAATTAACGGATGTGTGCGATCTTCTAGAACACGTGACTAATCCCCTATCACTTGTATTTATGTACGTGCTAAACGATTCAGTTCGAAACGATTTACAGTATATTACTGAAAGGGGGGAAAATCTATGCAGAGAAACGCAACGGACCGCGGTTTTCGTGAAAAATCTAATTTGTTATTTGCCGCCCTCCTCGCTTGGATTTTAATACCGTTAAGCAGCGGCGTGTGCGTGCGCCCGGGCGCTTAAATCGTCGTTTTGTCCATTGTTAAGCGCGGTCGTGATCGCGTCGAACAATGCCATTGAGCCCGTGGTTTAGCCAATTTAGCCAAACCGAGCAAATTGACGTTAAAAAAGCCCTATCGAAAAAAAATATCACTACAACTCGGAACGCGCATAATATAAAAATATGATCAATGATGGCGATTATCTGTCTATACACCGCCTTCGGGTGGGAACAGACGACTTTAACAGGCATATTACATAATAATACTAGTTCGGCTTACCTGCAGGAGAACTCCCTTTCGCCCAGACACATCTCCAAGCAGTCTTGTCGCGTGGCGGCCGGTTGCTTCTTCTTGCTGAACCCTTTAAGCTTGTAACCCTGAACGCGATCGAAGCACCACGCTCTCTCGCAGGGTTTGATTCCCAAGCATGTTTTTTGCGCGTATATCGTGAATACCGGAAACTGAGATTTGCTGAGAGCTCCTGGATTGGAAAAAAAATAAATAATAATGTTAAAAATAGGTAAAAAGTCGTGAGCGTTGAACAATCCCGACGCAGTTGAGATATCTACAAACGCGCATCTGTGCGTTATAAACGTGACATATATTGGCCGTTTGGAAAGTCGCGACGCCTATTAGTTAGATAATAATGTATTTATAGTGAGCTGCATACATAGGACAAGATCGGAAACGTGAGGTGCGGATTAGCCGGGCATACCCCTCGGTGTGAAAACGGTTAAACCTCAATAGACATTTTGCATTCTCCCTTGACCGTGTTTCGCGATGGCGGAGACATTTCGTTGTGAATATACGAAAGAACAAAATTAACCGTTTTTTCAAATTGCGACTGGCGCGCCGCGGTCGGAAATCAATCACACACACATACGTGGTAAAATTCGTACTTGTGATTATAATAGTAAAAATAATAAATCGTCGTGATGCTAAATAATCGAATCCGTTTGAACCGTGTCCGAATCATGACCGATTACCATTATAAATCCCGTATTTTGCAAACACCACGGCGGTCGTCGACATCCCGAATGAAAATCAAAGAAGAAGGTAGAAAAAACAACGCATCATCCGAATTATCTTATAGACCTTCGCCGCCACTAATCTATACGAACCCCGTCTATAACGTGTACATGTGCGGCTAAACAACAGTTTTTTTCTTGCACGCCGTATTACTCTACTAGCGGTTACCTTGTCACGTCACCATGATCTACAACCGGGCGTTTGTTAACGTAATTTACATTAAACGCATCCGAACATTAGCCGCTCGCCGTTATAAAACTGCATGTTACAGACGGACACGGTATGTCCACAACCAATATGTGGTAAGTTTTTGGAGGAAAAAATACTAAACGCGTACCCTGAATGCCCCTGCGAAAAATCTTTATCGTACCGTGGAGGCTAAGCTTCCAGTGGCCAGTTCCAACATCCTCCCTTATTAAACTTTTCAAAGCAAGCAGTCCTATATATGTTTAAAAACCAGATTTTTATTGAAATTTTTAATCTTATTGTTGTCCTACAACGGCTTGCGAGAAAGCATGTATGGTACAGCTCGTGTGCAATGCCAACAGCTGTTCAGAGATAGATAACCATTTTTTTAGTGTCTTCAAAAGTAGCCAACATATTATACAGTACCAGTAAACGCCTATGTGTGTGAAAGACAATTGTTACGCGGTTCTCTCCACCGAAAGCACCGTTTATCGATTTGATGCGTTTGTTTGTATCCTCACAATAACGTTTAGTGATATTCTCGAATTGATTATTGCCGGCGATAGGTCGACCCGTATCCGTAAAACACAAATAAAGCTCGGGCGGGGTTAAGGCTCCTCTTTCTTTTTCTCGGGTACGTCACGACGGCGGCCGTGTTCGTGCTACCGACTTAAAACCTCCCAGAGGGCCGAGGAATACAAAACTGTCACGGTGACTCCCACGCTATACTCCGTGCGCGCCACTACTCTTTGTATCCGTTTAAGGACCTCGCTAAAGTATGTATATCGGCGTTTTACACATACAGGTATGTATTAGCGGTAACGCTTGTCGAGCATTAGCAACTCCAATTAACCGTCTTGTAAAAACCGTCAGTTATGCTCGTGTAATGTCGTTTTTGTGTCCTTACCCGGAAACGCATCAGCGTTGGACGAGAACATCACGCACAACCCGGTTTCGTAGTTGACCGAATAACATGTGTCGTTGGCTTGACACGCTTCCAAACAGTCGGTTAACATAAGAGTACCGGGTATGCTGTCCAGCAAGTCGTCTGGTGCGGTAAACACATACCCGGTGACCAGCTCGAACCCGGTCATGTCGGCTTCGCAGTCCTGAAGGGATGTGGCCGCCGTTGTTGTAGACACCATCAAAGTCAACATTATGACGCACGCGTAAAGCGCCCCACTAGCACGGGTTTTGCCTGAAACAAAATTACACAAAACTATTAGCTGATTAGCATACCGGTATTATTGACAAAATAATTTCTCCCTTCAAACACTGATCATTTGACATATTTACTAACGTTGGATCGGTAATAAACTCAAAGCAGGGTTGACGATTTGGCTCGGATGTGCCTATCACCACATCTATTATCTGCCTACTAAAACCACCACGCGCATTTCGCACATTTTGAACACCGGAGAATTTTTTTTTAATAAAAGCAACTTTATATTACATTTGTTATTAGCGGTATTATTACCCCACACGGCACTTTATTTTAAACATTTTGAAGAATTTATATAATCGCATATTATTATCATTAAATTAAGTCTTGTAAATTATAATAAGTTATGATTATCGTTAATTTATATTGATTAATATTCCCATATTTGATTTTGGCTAATTTAAAATTCTTATGAAAATAGACACGATTAGTAGTAACTAAACATTGAAATGAAAAATGTTGTTGTTTGTAATAAATATTAAATATTATCTGGGATAACATGGAGTTTGAGGGATCTTAACCTTTAACGAATCTTACAAAATCTCTAGATTCTAATATACGCTTCTAAATAAAAACTTAATGTATTTATAATATGCAAAACTGAAGCTGTAAAACGATTCGTTATTTGTAATTCTTGATTATAACCGAGATGAATCTAAGGCAATCGCCGGCGACGAATATCGCGGCCACCCAACGAGTGATTTTTTTCGTCAATCAGAGATAGCTAGTTTTTTATGCATTTAAAAGTGGATGATGCATGCAGATTGAATAAATGTGCTATGGCGTAACACAACTGTTGATGCTACTATCAGTTCGCGGTGGTTATAATGAAATTCAAACCTGCCCCCAACGTGGTCACGTGGCTCGTCGAGATTGTTCCCGGTGTTTTACATAAGCTATTTTGTATGTGAGATGACTCGACGTCTATCGTGTTATCGCAACAACGGTGTACGCAACCTAACTTGAAGTTAATCTGATGTTTACATAAATGCAGTTAATTCAAACTATGACAATAGAACGCAATTTCGTTTTTTTTTCTATTAGAAAATTTCAGTATGAAACCGGAGTAACCATAAAATTTATAAAAAAAATCAAACTATTTAACGTCTAACACCCATTGAACATTAAATCTCTATTATCAGAGTGCCAGTTTCACATTGTAATAATTTAACCGACGCGACGTTATATTACTATTTTATATTGTTGTAACGTACGGCGAGACTATATTTATACGTATAAAACCACTAACGCTTATATGTAGGACGAACGTACGAATGTGAGGTGTTAAAATATTACCTTCCAGTGCGATGTGGTCAGAAGGTAAAAAAAAATATTTAATCGTACGGTAAATGCAGTGCAGTAACAATTGGCGTGTGAGCGATAAAACAATTAGGGTACGGAAAATTATCATAATGCGCCAATTCGAATTCCAGTGTCGTTGACTAGAGACCTGGTATTTTCGGGTCTCTCGCCGACAATATCAACAGACAATGTTGTTTGCATAGGGTATTTGGTAATTGCCGCGGGCCTTGGAGGTCATTGTCGGAAGAAGAGTTAATGATCGGCGAGGTCAAGCAATATTTTACGAACCTTGTTAACGCCCACCAGTAATTCGCAACGAGAACCGCGGGTCGGAGAAGAACGCGTAAGACGTTATTATCATAAACCTCAGGAGGTTTTTTTTCCATTGTCAATTATCAATTTTGTAACCACGATTTTCGCCATAAACTTGGAAAAAAACACGCACACCGCGGTAATTGAATCATAGGCTGCGCGGGCCTTAGATAGTTTACACAAGCCGACTTAAATAAATACTGTAGTAATGCGATTTCGGGTAACACTTATATTTTGTACTTGGTCATATATTAGACCGTGTCTAAAAAAAAATGTGTTTACTTATTCTCCTCCCCTTTATAGGGTAGTTATTCAAAAAATAAATCCTAAAAATGTCAGATGGATTGCTCAACTCTAAGTTCTCATAAATTTTCTTTTTGCATTTTAATAACACGGGAGGTTTGAATTTTCTATTAAAAAAATTTAACTTGAAAACTAATAAAAATATTAACAATTAAAAAAAAAATCCTAAAGCTGAAATATGACACTTTACAATTACTATTTTGTCATTTAATTGTAATAATTGTTTTTATCAAGTTATAGCTTATTAAAACCAATAAAACTATAGAACTTGCAAAAAAAAAAAATTAAAAAGTTTAATATTACCCGTACATAATAAAAGCAAAGTTATTTGATTGTTGAATTTAGTGTAATCTTCTCAAGCTTCTCTATTTGCACAATTCAATGAGTATGTGAAATACAATATTAACAGCAAAAAAATGTATTTGTATAGGATGATAGGATTTTCAATATCCGTATTTATATTTGGCTACTTCTGATTGGTATCGCGCAATTGTGAACAAAATTGTCTAATCTTACAGAAATATCTGAATGATATGTTGACGTCGAAATCCAACGCAGACATGAGCTGCGCTTCACTGGCGTGTGCGACACATAACGGGTTACACACAACTATTTACAGTATGACCACTATGTGTGAGACGACGGCATTGGTCGGCCAGTGCATAGGAAAAAAAATGGACAGTAATAATGTGTGCAATTTCTGTAATATTATGACGTTGTAATATCAGACAATGTTTATATTTGCATAAAACCGCATACGATTATTGTATTCTTCTAATATTAGATGTACAACAAGTCTCGCTTGTAGATTTACCGTTGAATATAACGACGAAAACTAGCCAACGACAGAGTAGAACACATGTATAAAATTTGATTGATTATTTGTACAAGCATATTTATTATTAAAATCGTGGTTTAGACGTAACAGTGAGATAACTTGTTTTTATTTTATTAGCACAAGTTATTGTTTTCTGTAACGGCGGCTTTACACACGTTAATAATGTTTAATATTGCGCTTTTGCCCAAAAAAAAAAATATATATATATAACGGCCAAGGATGTGTGTATGTATAATTTATGCCTCGAAATAAGTTATAAAAAGAAAAAGAATAAGAAAATATTTGAGAAACATTCGTTTGTTTTAATATTTTTTTATATGTTTTATAAAAAAGATCACTTATTCCATTAACTGTTACCTTTTCCATAGACAAATCATTTCTATCCACATTCGTTTTTAACGATTGATGTTTTGAAATTTAACCCTGATATCAATATGAAAAAAATCCTCCATAAATTTGTTAGTTTTTAAGTATTTAATTCTCGCATGATTAAACGAGTAATTTTCTTAACTAATATTTTAATAGCTATTTATGTATGTCTTTTTTGGATAGTCGATTGTGTTTAATAGGGTCATTTAAATGGAGATGTTGTGATATTGTCGTGTAAAAAGCTCACGATGGGTGTAACGTTTAGTAATACGAATAGCGTGTCTATAAATACCATAATTTCATACACACACTCACGCATGATATAACGGTGAGTTTTTTCTTACCCTGAGGCGTCGCGTTTCTTCGGTATGAAAACCTGTTTTTTGTTTAATGAGTAATGAGAATCCTCCGCTATGTCTTATTATTATTATTATTATTATCATCATTATCATCACAGTCGTCGCCGGCGTATGTTATGGGGAACCGACCAGAAATATATTGGTGTGTAAATCGGCAATCGCGTGCCGTACTCGTGTTCTTGACCTACATTAAAAAAAAACTCCGTTCAAATGCGTTTTCGTTGGTAATTGAAAAAGTGGTTCGGCGGGAGGAGGTGCTGTGCTTGTGCAGAGTATATAACATAAGGATACTAATAATGAAAAATATAATAATAATAGTAACGTGTATAAAAAATCAAAAGAATCGTGAAACAATCTATATCGTCAGTCCACCGCGTCTTCTTCCACAGCTGCGAATAATGGACGGGTTTATATTGTACATATATATATTTATAATATAAATTGAGCTACCGTTCTACGACAACTATATGTACAACAACAACAACAACAACAACAATAATAATAATAATAATAATGAAAATGCAATTATAAACTAGTCTGCGTCCTCGTCGGCGAACGTTTATTGAGGCCGATTTCATGTCTTTTTGACGGTGTTAGTGTGTTATATTTTCGCTATCCAGTATCTACACACACACATATATATATATACTTAGAAAACCGTCCACACTTTCCTATCAAAACCCCATTGTTGCGATTGACGTTTTCAATTCGCATAGCGCTGTTTATCCGGTGATCGCATGATATTATTATTTATTTACCATAAATTATACTGCGTTATTTGATGCACGTCCGATTTTCCCAGATCCACCTTCAACGGTATCTCATTGTGTGTGTATATATGTTTTACCGGATTGTCCTCTGGACGCGTCTCGTTAAACCCGTGCAAGACCGACGGTGGGGGGTCGTCGAGTGACGTTAAGACGAGTAAAAAAATAACGACGCCGTTAACGAATTTGTGTAAAAAATGATATAGAAGAAAACAAAACCATAGTTGATCAACGATTTATGACAGTCGTCCATGATAATAATAACACACTATTAGCGAAAGCGCGCGAAAAAATTAATTTGCATTTTTACTTATTATATTAAGGCGACGCGGCGATCGTCTCTCGGTGACAGCCGCTGACCGTGGGAAACGGATTTCGTGCCGGGTATTAACGTTAATTGTATATTAAATGTATGTCTTTTTTTTGTATATTAATAGTATTTAAATCCTAACTTAAGTGCCTGCGGGGCGAGGACACTGACGTCGTACCGAAGTGTTACGAAAAAAAGTTGTACCGCTCCAATAATCGCTGACTTGGCCTTTTTTCGATTTAGGTTTTTTGATTCGTTTTCAAAACCACAATCGAAAAATGACATTCCGCGAGGGAGAATATCGCCATCATTTTGATGTTCTGTGGCACTACGTGTTCGATTCGTTCCGAGCTGAGAAACAAAAACGCAACTAAAAATAAATAAGATACGTCCGTTTGGGTTTTATTGACCAACAA